AGGAATCAAACCATTAGAGAAAACAAGCATTATATAAGTACAAAAATTAATAAATAAATAAAAACAAATTCATTTGCTCAACTAATATTTATTAAGTGCCTTCTACATGTGTTAATACTGTAGATGTAATAAGAAGAAAAAAACATAATCTCTGCCTACTTGAAATTTATTCTCCAGTGGGGAAGACATGTATTAGCTAATCACAAAAACAGCAAAATTTTAATGACAAATGCTACATAGAAGAACCACAGTACATGGTTCAGTTCTCCAGGAATATATGACAATTCTAAATGTGTTAATTTAAGTGTGATTAAAATAGGCTCAAAATATATAAAGTAAAAAAATCAAACTACAAGTGAACTTTTCAACTTGGCAACATAATGAACTATTTTAACAACGTTCTATGATTACTACTAGGTCAGGATGAGAAAAAAAAAGTCAGTAAAAATAAAGAAAATATGGACAAACCAAATACAAGCTTAATTTAATGGTCATGTGCAAAGCACTCAATTATTAAAGAGTAATCATTCTCAAGAATACGTGGAATATTTACAAAAGTTGATCACATAATAAACCTTAAAACAAGTCTCAGAAAATTTCAGAGAATCAATATCATGCAATTTTCTGACCAAAATGCAATTAGGTTAACAATCTAATTAAAACTTAAAAAGATAATTCTTTAATTAAATAATTTAGATATTCAGAAATTTCAAATAACTCATAAGTTAAAGAAGCAATGATAATGAAATTTTAAAATACCATTAGAACTAAATGAAAATGAAAATACTTCACATGCAAAAAGAATGCAGCAATGGAAATTCATAGCCTTACAAGCTCAGCATAAAAAGAAGAAAAACTGAAAACATATTGATTAAATGTGCAATTTAAGAAGTTTGGACTCCCAAATATAGTGGACAATTTGGTGATAGACAGAGTGAAGGGGCGTTGGGGGGCTGGGAGAATGGGATGAAGGGTTAAAGAAGTACAAATTAGTAGTTGATAGTTGGTCATGCGGATGGGAGCACCGCAGAGGGAATGCAGTTAGCATTAATATGATGGCTAGGTGGAGGGCTGAGGGAGGGAGCAATTGGGATTGTTTGATGAACTATATAGATGTCTAACCAATGTACTGTATACTTGAAACTAATTTAAATAAATAAATTTTTAAAAAAAGAAGTTAGGGAAAAATATAATAATCCCAGAAAAAATTCAATTAAATAGAATAAGAAAATAATAGAAATCACTGAAGTAGGAGATAAAAGATAGAGAAGACCAACAAAGAACAACAACAAAAAGTATAGCTCTTTGAAAAGACTATATGGGATAAAACCACATATAAAACCATATTTAAAGGAAAATAACTTTATGAAAATAAATTTGAAAAGTTACAGAAAATGGGCAAATTCCTAAAAATATCATTCACCAAAACTATTCAAGAAGAAATACAAAACCTGAATAGTCCTATAATCATTAAAAGAATTGATTTCATTTTTTTAATCTTCCCGCAAGGAAAATACCAAGATCAAACAATTTTTCAGGCAAGTTCTACCAAATTTTCAAGAAACAAATGATTCTAATCTTACACAAACTATTAGAATATAAATAAAAAAAAATATTCCACAATTCATTCTACCACTTAACTCAAAATAGATCACACAAAAATTAACTCAAAATAGACCACAGACTAAATGTAAAACCTAAAACTATAAAACTCTAAAAGAAAACATAGCAAAAAATTTCTATGTCCCTGGCTGGACAAAGAATTCGTGGAGATTACACCAAAAGCACAATCTATAAAAGAAAAATTGATAGAGTGGACAACACCAAAATTAAAAAGTTCAAAACTACCATTAAAAAAATGAAGGCACAAGCCACAGATTAGAAGAATATAACTGCAAATCTTTATATCCAATAAAGGACTTGTATTCGGTATATGTAAAGAACTTTTACAACTCAGTAACAACAAAACAACCCATTAAAAAATAGGCGAAAGGTTTAAACAGACATTTCCCTAAATATACAAATGGCTAATAAGCACATGAATAAGTGTTCAAAATCATTAGTCATCAGAGAAATGCAAATTAAAACCACAATGAAATACCAATGCACACCCACTAGAATAGCTAAAATCAAAAAGATAATACTAAGTCTTGGTTAGGATATGGAGAAACAAACCATCATGTATTGCTGGTGAGAATGCAAAGGGTGCAGCCACTTTAAAAAAGTCTGACGGTTTAATCTTAAATATAAACATATGCCTATCATACAATCTAACCATCGACTCCTAGGAATCTAACCAAGAGATGCATGTCCTTGAACGTTCCCAGTAGCGTTATTCCTGAAAGACAATAACTGGAGACAATCCAAGTGTCCATCAATTAAAATGGGTAAACAAAATGTCCTATAGCCAAACAATGGAATACTATTCAACAACTAAAAGGAACAAACTACAAATATTGCAACAACAGTGATGAACTTCAAAAACATCATGCTATGTGAAAGAAATCAGACACAAAAGACTATATAGTATATGCTTCTATTTGTATGAAATTTTTAAAAAAGGCAAATTTAGAGACAAAGTTTATCAGTGGTGCCTAGGGCTAAGGACAGGAGTGGAGATTAACTATAAATGGGCACCAAGCAACATTTTAGGATGACAGAGATGTTCTAAAACTGGATTGTGGTTATGATTTACTATAAATTTACTAACATAATTGAATTCTACAGTTAATATGGTTACAATGATTGAATTTTATCGTATTTAAATGGTACTTTAGTAAAATTATTTTTTAAAATAGCCAACTGATTTATTAAAAGATATCGAAGCTCATTAGTAATTAGGAAAATGAAAACTGAGATAGGAAATTAAGAAACCTGATAATACCAAGGCAAAAAGACATGAAGCAAGAAAAATTCCTGCACATCACTCACAGGAATATAAATAGGCAAAACCACTCAGAAAGCAATTTGTCCTAATTCTGCAAAGTTACCCACGCGCATGCCCTACAACCAGCAAATCACTCCAAAATAGATACTCTAGATAGAAGAGCTAGATTGTAGACCATGTGTCTGTCACACTAACTTAACTCTGCTTTGTATCACAAGAACAGCCACAGACAACATGTAAACAAATGAGCACAGCTGCTGCTACATTAAAAACTTATTTACAAAAACAGGCAGTGAGACAGATTTGACCCCTGGGCAGTAGTTTGCCAACTCCTGACCTAAAAAAAAAAACCTGTACCCATGATCCAGGAGACATGGGGAACTGTTTTCACAGAACTTGTTTTCATTAGAAGGAAACTGGAAGCAACCCGAATGTTCACTTACAGGGGAAGGGATAAATGAAACGTGGCATGATTTCAGAATGGAATATGATACAGCAGTGAAAGTGAATGATATTTTTGCTACCTGCAACAACATGGATAAATCTTAGAAAACAATACTAAGTGAAAAAAGCAATTCATAGAAGAGAGCTGATTTAATCACAGACGTGATTTAATTGAGCTCAAAAATAAGCAAAACTAAATAAAATGTCATATCTCCTATGTATATAGGCAGTAAAGAAAATCTACAGGTATAGGGAACTATAGGAAACTATGAGGAAAAAAGTAGAGGAATGGTAGAAATTCAGGATGGAGGTTACCTCCCAACAGAAGGCCAAAGACAGGATCAGGAGTCCACAGTTAGTTTCAATGGTTTTGGTATTGTTCTAGTTCTTATGTTAGGTCATAGCTCCTAAGAGTTCGCAACTTACACATACAGCATCTATTGAATCTTGTATAAATAAAATAAATACTAAAATTTTATTTTTTCATAAAAAAAAAAAAACAGAAATACCCCTGTATTTAGCTGAAAAATCTCGAAAACATTGAAGAGGCTACCTGTAGCTGAAACAGAAAATAGAGATCTTGCCACTAAAAAGCAGTCATGGTGTTTGTACTCTAATTCAGCCAAGTAAGTAGATCATGACAAAACACATAAATGGCTTGTAACTACTGCTTGGATTCAGAAAGAGTTGATAAAAACTAAGTAAAAAAGTATTGGAAATTATTCTAAAACTTAAAAAATAAGTAGTTGTTGGTTAATTTTCCATGAGTTCAATATTTTGCTATTTAAATAAGTTTGACTGTAGATCACTAGATCACCCCAAAAATACACAAAATAGAATCCTGGCACCATCTGGTGGCAGTACACTGCAACAGCAGGTTCTAATTTTTTCTTTTTTAAGATTAATTCACTCATTCGTTTACCAACTATCTATCTATAAGCAACTACCAGACATTTTTAAATCTTTCTTGAAACATACACATTTTTTAATCTTTCCTGAAAGACAGGAAATAAGATAAGGTTTAGCATCTAAAATAGAAGTTTAGATCTTCAAGGAAAAAAATCTACAGTTAAATTTATGACTATTGGGACCTAAGAATTTGTTCTTATGTAGAAGTTTATTTAAAGTATCCATGGCCCTGGAACTCTCAGGCAAGAAGTTCCACAGGAGTGTACTGGTAAATATAGTCTATTGAGTCACCACATCTGGACCAGTAAGCACACTAATGTAGTTTTCAAAAAAAGAACTGTGGTGATTTTTAAATGTCCTCAAATTCTTGACATTTCTTTCAAAGCACAGAGCCTAATTTTCCTCTCCATGAACATGGGCTGGACTTAATGACTCTTTTCTAATGAAGAGAATGTGACAGAAGTAATGCTGTATAACTTCCACAGCCAAATCATCAAAGGCATCGCCACTTTCATCTTGCCTTTTTTGGGATTACTCACTGGGGGAAAATCAACCATCATGTCATGAGGAGACTCAAGTAGCTTTGAAGAACCTGCTTGGGGAGGAACTGTGACCTCCTGTCAACAACCGGCACCAATCTGCCAGTCATGTCCTCCAGCCCCACCAAGCCCTCAGATATTGCACGCTTGCCAATATCACCAATCTAAGCCATTCCCAAAAGAACAAAATTAATATCTGTTTATTATTGTTTTAAGCCACTCAATTTTGGGGTAATCTGTTATGCAACAATATATAACTAATATCTATTACTTCCTAAAATCAAGTTTTATCTACATAAGAAATAAAAATAGCTCACTTCAGTTTAATATTACAATTTGCCCACGTTAATAAAATTTCAAATTATCCTCCCTATTACACTAAGTAGTAATCTTTTTTTAATTCTCCCAAATTGTTTCATATCATTTCGTATTATTCATAGCATTCTAAGTTTATTCAAAAAAACAGCAACCTAAGCAGACCAGTCAGCAAGGATTTTTTTAAACATCTTTTTGCAGAGCAACTGTACTAGGTAGAGAATCATGCCCTTGAGGTGGTTGTAATTTAACTAATATTCATGAAATATATATTTTTTAACTAAACTTTTTCCCCTGTCTCTGAAGGTGACAGGAAGGTTTGGAAAATGTCTCCTTTACCTCTGTGAGGGATCCACAAGCCACACCACCACGCAGGGCTTCATCCAAAGCAGAAAGGGTTGTAGATAAGAATGCTGGCAAGAGAGCAGTAGATCTTTGTGTCTTCATCCCATAAGCCTGAACAAGGAAAAGATTAGGTTCTTTAGAACCTCCTTATGTATTCAAAAACATAAACCAACTCCATACCTCAAATTTTAGCAGCTGGAACCCAATTCCATTTTTTGTCTCCTCTGTTATTTATTTGTTCAACAAATATTTACTCTGTGCCAGTGACTGAGCTAGATTATAAGAATATGATTTAACAGACAGCCCCTGCCTTCACAGTAGTTATAGTCGACCATTAGGACTAGAAATTGGGCAATTACTATGCAATTAATAAGAGATGTGATAGAGAAAGTAAGACACAGACAACATACCTGATCTGGATTTTGTGATTCAATAAAGCTTCATCGAAGAGATGGATGTCTGAGCTAAAATTTGAAATAGCTGTTAGACAGGTAAAGGAAATGTGCATGTTCCTGCCGAAGAGACAGAATATACAAAGAAAGGTCAAGAAGAACAGGCGGAAATGGAAACCAACAAAAACTACAAAAAATAGAGTTTTTTTTAGAACAGTTGAAGATGGAGCGTGGTAGTGCTGTGGCAAGTGATAAAGCTGGAGAAACAAGCAGGGGCCAAATCATGAAGAACCTTGTTGAACTTTGGAGTTTATGCTGAGAGCAACAAGGGGTGACATGATCAAGTTACCATCTCAGACTGAGGCTGGTTTGTGAAGAACAGCTTGAAGGTAGGTGTGGTAGTCTGAGAAATGGCCACCCCAAAATATATCCACATCAAATCCTTAGAACCTGTGAATGTTACCTTTTTTGTACAAAGGATCTTTGCAGATGTGATTAATGTGATTATATGCCCACTAGCAATGTATTAAAAACACTTGCCTCTTTATATTCTCTAACATTAAAATTTTCACTTTTATGAATGAAATGTAACTATAAAAATTCATTCATTCAACATATATTGGGTACCAATTGCATGCCATGCTCTAAGATTGGCTTTGGGAATACAAAGGTAAACCAAATGGATAGCTTCTACCCAAAGTTTAAAATTTAATAAATCTATGACTTAAATCCAAGGCTGTTCTGCTTTGTGACAATGTAGGAAGACCAGCATATTAATATTTGTGAGCCATAAATATGCCCACTCTTACCTAATCTTACTTATTGAATTCTTAGTTCAGTTAAACCAAGAATTACCACAGATTTTTTTAAGGCTATATTCAAGCACATATAATAATTAGAAAAGCTATGGTCAAAGTCATGTAATTTGCACCTGATTTAGAAATATCTGAATATTGTCTACAATAAATCATCAGGCAACAGAGGTGGGTGTGGGGACACATTATCAAACATGTAAAGGCAACCCGATCTGTCAACATTAAATTGCTTTATTTGCAAATATAACTGTAATTACTGCAAAAATAGATTTGGTGACTCTCAAAAAGAATAATAAAATGAACTAATAAAACAAGCCTTCAGAAATGATAGTATATGCATAAATGAGAAAAAGTAATATTGTGATATGACACTCCACCAGTTTTTCTTTTACTTTGGCGGCTGCTTCTTCTCAGACTCATCATTATCTAATCTCATCTTTAAATGTTGGCTTCACTCAAGATTTGGTCTTGGGTACACTTATCTTCTTATTTTATATACTTTCTAGGCAATTGCTCATCCATTCCCATGGCTTTGACTATTATAGGTGCACTGATGACTCCCAAACGCATACTTTTAGTGCAGACTTCGCCTTCAAACTCCATGTCCAGACATTTAACAGCATACTTAATGTCTCCACTCAATGTTTCACATGCACCTTAAATTCAACAAGTACTCCCTGAACTTTTCCTTCATAGGACTTGTCACTACTACAATTAACTACTTACTCATGTCATTATTTATTTAATGTCTGACTTCTCCCACTAGACTGAGCTACATGAGGGCAGGAACTTTATCAATCTTGAATACAATATCCTCAGCTCCTGACAAAGACCCTGATACATGGCTGGCATCGAATAAATATTGGTTGAAGGAATAAATGACTCAATAAATGAATAAATAAATAGACAAAAATTTTTCTTTAAAGAATGAACTAAAACTAAGCCAATGTTTAAGTCAGAATTCAAATCTAAAGAATGCTACAAGAGTGAATGTACAACAAAGGAGAAAGATGGATTCTTGAATTGGGACTTGGAATGATATTGAGATTGCAGCTGAAGTGGTGATGGAAGTGGAGACTAAAGTTGAATTTCCTGCCCAAGCTCTCTTATTTAATTACCTAACTAGAAATATGCCACAGATATTGACCAAATAGAATGACAGATGTCAAATTAAAAGGTTTTCCTGGTGCTTTACAACCTTCTAAATAGTAACAGGTTATTTTGAAACCAGTCACAGAATTATCTCATACTATTTTAATATTAACTTACTTCACAAAACAAAGAGAGCTGTCCAAAGCTACAAGATCAATGACAAAGCTAAGACTAGTGCCAAACTCTAACTCTGATTCTAATTTTCCTTTTGCCTACTCTGCCTCTAAGGTATTTTCCTTAGATCACAAGCTAAATCTGAACAAAAGAAAATACTTTATCTGTTCATTGCTTCAGAAGTCTCAAATGACACTTCCTACTTCATAGAACTGCACCCTACTTTATTGCTCAGTGGTTACCAAATTTCAACATGAGATAGTAAGGTAAATGTGTTACCTGAAAATTGTCTACAATCCATAAATCACATAAATAAATAAATTTACAAAGCAATGAACAGACTTTAGGCAACTCTCATCCTAGGAAAGCAGTATCTTTCTACCATGCATAAAACTTTCATTGGAAAAGCTAAAGCCATTAAACATAAAGTATGAAAAAATAGTACAACTTGATGAGGACTTTACCTCTCCTCAAGAGTGAGGATAAGTTTTCAAGTATTATTTATTCAATCAATAAGCAAGTGTAAGTCCAATGTGTGTATTTTATGATGTAAAGTAAGTGACGATGGTAAAAGTATTACAGAGGCAGGGGAATTCTAAAATTAAAAGTATACTAAAGTCCACAAATCCCACCCAAACAAAGAGAAAGATGACCTTTTGAAATATCACTATCGGCTACAGAGAAAAAACTTTCTGTTGCCCCCTCATTCCTGTAATTAAGAACTACCTCCCATGAGCTTATAAACTATATAAATTTTTTGTATGTATTCTCATTAGAGGACTAATTCTGCCTTAAGAGTCTATATTTTTGAGGTACTCATCTCTATTTTTGCTTTTGCCTCATTCCAAAAAAAAAAGATTTTAAATAAGATGAAGAATCATTTCAAAATAAAAGTCATAATCAAATCATCATAAGAATATACACATACCGTTTGCATCTGTGGGGCACAGGCCCTGCTGACCACATACACAAGTTCATGGACACCTCGATAACTAAGGCCAGTCATCTTCATAAGCTCCAATGGGGAAAGACATAAAAAGTCCTAAAGAGACATAAAGAGAATATTTTAAATATATGTGTAAGAAAGATACTGGAATTAAAAGGTATATTTCAATTGAAACTGTCCATGTGTAGATAAAAGTGAAATTTATTTCAGATCAAAGACTTACTTGTTCCATACAGTATTTTCCCCCTAAATATGCCTTAACTAAAAGATATGATGTCAGTCTTTTCTTGTAATTATCCAATTTAGTTGGCATATATTGGAGGATACATCAAATAACATCACATAGAAGCAGCATCCAACCCGGGAGTACATGAGCACTGCATCTGTGCCAAGAAGAGTTTGGGTACAAATACCCAGAAAGTGTCAAATTGAAATGAATTTCTTCTTAAACTATATGAAATCATTCAGAGAAAGTATCTGATAACTGAGAGCATTTCAAGTATGAACATAAGGATTATTAAATATATAACACAGAAACCAAAGAAACCTTTAACACATAAAGTGATTTTTTAAAAGTTGCAGCATGCTCTGAAAGTCTGTTTTATTAAAGATTAAATCCTAATCTAAAACCTTAAATCTCATTTAACTCAAAAGAGATTTGTTTCATTATTATGTTTAAAAATGTGACATCTCTATACATTTTTCTCATTCCTTCAATAGGAAAAAGATCTTAACTATTAATTTCTCTTGCTTTCATGAGGAATTATTCATTTTGAATACCATCTCCTCATTAGAGTCATATTTCTCATAATAACTACAAAATTTCTTTTTATCCATTTCCCATTTAAAACAAAAAAGTGCAGCTAGCTGCCAGCATCAATTTAATTTTACATAAATATGCTCTTTGAGGCTGAAGCAAATTTGACTGGCTTTCAATGTGAAAATAAAATATAAAAACTGTTCTTACTGTTATCTCTACACAGAACTTGTCTCTAATCCTAATGTAACAGAAATGTATATATAAATTGGATTCACCAAATGAATCTTAGGCTAACAACTGAGAACGATATTAACATCACATGTAGGAACACTACATTTTCTAGGATTTGACATTTTCACTGATGGAGAATATATTTTGTAAATGAAAATACCAGTACTAAAAACAGAACGCTATAAATAGAATGATGTCATTTGTTTCCAAAGACTATCAATATACTAGAGCAATGCAAAAATAATAATAAAAGCGAGATATTTCGTGGCAAACTTTTGGGGGTAAGGTTAACACTGTAATCCGTGAGCTATCTCTGGGTAAATGCTGCAGTTTGGCAAACTTTGGGGGTAAGGTTAACACTGTAATCCGTGAGTATATCTGGGTAAATGCTGCAGCCACAAGTGCCACCAGCAAGTATTCTTGGGGCAAACAGGAAATGGGTTAAGTAGTAAAACTTTCCTAGAATTCCAAATAAATGGCATAGGTGTATTTCACCTCTCCCTCTCCCCCCCGCCCAATGCAAAAATATTGAACTTGGGTAAATGAAATCATATTTGGAAGTATAATCCAAGTGACTTGTCTTTTCAACTTAGCCTATGGAGAAGCACTATCATTTGTCCTTTTTTTTTCTGTAAACCTAAGTTCTCATATTTCAGGTTTAGTTAAGAGTTATTTAGGTATACTTAAAATTAATTGGTACTTAAAATTTCTCATTGAAAAAATTAAATAAACTTTACCTGACAGGTAACAACCTGAAATCTGTTCAGACGGTCACACAGCTCTTGTGATAAACCCACTCGTCTTAGTTTCTTGCTACCCATGCCTTCAGATGCAGAAAAAAAAAAAAAGAACCACTTTAAAAAAAATATCAGAAAATAGCATAAGTGATAACAGATGGCAACTATCCAAAACACTCTACAAAATAACAAATCCTTCCAATTTTTTCATATGCAAAATGAAATAAGTAGTATTTAAAATGTTACTGAAAAAATAAAGGCTATAGAATCTTTCTAAAAGTCTTACATAAGAGAGACAACTGTTTGTCAAACATACACACAGAGAAACAAGGCAAGAAAAGAATGTGCATTTCACACAATACTTATTACATGAATATAATAATACCACTTCACGTTTGTATAGCATCTTGAAATTTTCAATGCATTAATAAATTTTATTTGGATGTGTAACTAACCTTCAAGGCATATTTCCAAACAACACTCCTAGAAAGTCTTTCTTTTCATTGTACTATAACAATAATAAATTTCTGAGCATCTACTATATACCGGGCACTGTTGCTTTACATAAATTATCATATTTTATCTTCTCAACATCCCTATAAGGAAGGTTATTGGTCTCATTGTTGCATATGAGAAAACAAAAATCTGGAAAGCTTATTCTAGTATCACCAGAAAAAGTAAATGGTGGGTCTAGAATTTGAACCCAGGAAGTCTGATTCTGAAGTCTACTCGCTAAACCATTATACTCTACTAAAAGTCCAAATCATATTTAACTTATCCTTTTTCTAGAAGTCAGATAAGTCTTCTGAATCAAATGGGATTTTATTATTTATAAGCTGAATTGTTGTTTATTACTCTAGCTGCCCAGATTCCCACATAACAGCTTCTCACGTTCCCACAAACTATACTAGCTTTTCACATTCCCATATACTATTAAATTTCACTGTTGTTGAACCTTGCTAGGGCTAAATGAGGTTTCTGAAATAACTGCCTTCCAAGAGCTAGAATATAATCACTGTGATTCCTATAATAATGTATGCCAAGGAAAGACTGTGTATCCCACTGAGATAGCAAAATATCCTCTGGATAGAATAGAAATAGGAACTCTTCATTGTTCCAGGGGATAAAGCAATGAAATTATCAAAAAGAAGTAACATTTTGGAACAAAAATATATACCAAGAATGTAGATACTTATATCTAATACCAAGGCCCAAATTTCTATTTAATATCTAAATTCTCTGAACTAGATTAAATCAATCTCTCCCATATGCATCTGCTCCTTCACTCACATACACACATACCTCCCACAAACACAGAATATATCCCTCCCATTTCTCGCAATGGGAATGTGTCGGTATTGATTTCTATTTCCCCAATAGAAAATTTATTAAGTGACGCGTGCTTTGTCACTGCCTAGTGTCTTTACAGATCAGGTAGTTCCAGGCAATGACATCATTTAGATATATATTCAATCAAAAAGAAGAACTGTAAACCCAGAAATACCAGGATTTTAACAATGAATGACCAACTCTGTAATTTTTGTCTTATTAGGGCCACTCCAATCACTTGTCTGGACTATTGCATATGTCTCTGGTCACTTCCTGTCTCACCAAAAAAAAAAAAAAAAATCCATTTATTTGCTTCTTCCACAGACATTTTTTTAAGCACACACTCTGCTAAGCTCTGGGTCCAAGAACCACTTAAAGATATTCCCTTCCCTTTGGCAATTCACAATAAAAGATGAAAAGAGCCGCATACAAAAATAACTGCAATAGGTATCGCTGGTATTTAAATGTGCTATGGACAGAAAGAAGCATCAAACTGGCCTGCAAAATTCAAGTCAGTGCCACAATCCTGCCAAAAGTAGCTTCCTAAAAAGTTGCTCCAATCCTGTCACTCGCTTCCTTTAAACAGCCCATCGAATCATTAGACCACAGGATAAATTTCACACTTCTTAGTATTGCATAAAAACCCTTCATAAATTAACCCCTCATTTCCTTCTAACTGGAAAATCAGATTGCAAGGCCCAGATCCTGGCCTTCCTGGCAAAGCAACTTCACTTTCCACTGTTTTAGTTTCTCATCTGTCAAAGAAGGGTAATTCAACTATCTACTCCATAGGAAAGTAGTGAAGGTTAAAGGATTTGGATAGTGCCTGGCACATAATGTTCAAGGTTAACAATCATTATCATTATCGATTCATTCAGCAAAACATCATTTGCTGCCTCACACAACTTGATCTCCAGCCACAACAGTGTATTGGTAAATTACCTAAGCATCATCCTGCCTCCCTAAATTTCCTCCGCAAAGCCTTGCCCCAACTCAGTCTCTTCTCCAATGTTCTCATCACTTTGTACATATTTGTCTGATAATCTTTTTAACATATCATTATGGCTTCCATGTTTGATTCTTCCACCAGAGACTGTAAGTTCCTGATGTGTGTGTGTGCATGCGCTCATGTGAATGCAGAATGAGGAAAGATATTCAACCCTAGCGACTGAATCCTCACCTCATCAAGAAAAATTCTTAAGAAGTACAAATTGGTAGTTACAAAATAGCCAAAGGGTTGTGAAGTACAGCATAGGGAGTATAGTTAATAATATTGTAATAACTATTATAGTGCCAGGTGCGTACTAGTCTAATCTGGGGGAATCACTTTGTAAATTATATAATTGTCTAACCACTTTGCTGTACACCTGAAACTAGTATAATATTGAATGGCAACTAATTAAAATATTTTTAAAAAGAAAAGATAAATCCTCATGTTAGATGTTCAATGAAAACCGTTAAGTAACAATGACAGCTAATACTTATTGAGCCTTTATTATGTTCCATACACTGTTCCAAGCGCTTCAGATGTTTTACTTCATTTCACAGATTAAGGATACTAAGGCTGAGTTGAAAAACTTTCTCAAAGTCTAACTGCTAGTATATGCCCGCCTCCGCATTCGAATTCAGGGATCTGATTCCAGATTCCATGCTATTTATTACCTACCACTTCTTCAACACCTAACCACGGGCTTCTCTGCCTAGACCCCAAACCGCTCCGAAGTGGAAGGGGGTAGGCATCAAGCAGCAAAAACATCACCCTAAAATTCCTTAAAAAGAACTTTTTCAACAAGGAGTTCTTTCCATACAACCTCACAAAAGAATACAAGAAACCCCCATATCGGCGGCAGAGTTCTTGTTAACATCCCTACCAGCTTACGGGGGCGTGCCCTGCACCCGAGAGACTCTCCGCTTTCCCAATATGGATACCACGGGCCCAGAAAGGGAGCAGAAAATAATGAGCGCACCCCACGTCCTCACAACTGTCCCCAAGATGAAACTTTCCAGTACCGGGTCTGCAGCATCCAACTTTCAAAGTTTTCCCCACCCCTTACACAGTTCCCCGCGGAAAGTGCCACAAAGCAACAACGCAGGCGGTGGCTGGGTTGCCATCCTGGCGAACACCCAATCAGAAGTAGGCACAGGCCCAGGTCAGCTCCGCTGCTTGCTGGGAATTGTAGTCACACTCTGTAACAATGCTGTAAATCCGTTTCTCCATGTAGTGATTAGCAAAATTCGGTGGAAGGACATCGGCAAGGAGTGTATGAAGCCAGGAGAAACCTTGCTTGGAATTCTCTCTTTTCTTTCGTCACATTTAAAAATTGCTTAATGGACCAAAGAGATATGAGACTCCACTAATCATAGAAGAGGATTTGGAAGAAAGCTTTTGGTTTGTTTTGGCTTGCTTTTTTTCACCACCCTTTGGTGGTGAAGTAGTTTGGGAAATGCTGAATTGGTCAAACCGTTACTTTAAGACTCGATTCAGATTACTGTATTCGCGAAAAGCTTTTGCTCATTCTTTGCTCACATCTCCCCTATGCATAACTCTTTCTTATAATTTAGCTCACTCTATATTAATTATTGACCTGCACCCCTCACCAGACTTGAGGACAGGGGAGCTTCTAAAGCCTAAGCACACCGTTCAATTAACGGTTCCGGGTAAGAGAGCACATAAATGAATGGAGTTAAACAGAAGAAAATGGAGTTAAACAGAAGAAAACGTAGAGTTCTGGGATTATGAGAGCGCGAATGGACAGAATAATAATGGAAGAGGATTCAGGTCTTGCTCTAGGTGTCCCCAAGGCATGGCAAAGCAGTGGTACTGGTTGGCGCTCAGTATACGTTAACTTCAAACACTAGGGGGAAAAGAGCGGGGCAGGGGGAGTTAAGGAATACAGCTATTCCCGCCACCTGCTCCGCGGAACGCAGAACGGAAGGTGTAGAGCAGAGGAGCTGTCAAAACTGAGAGGGATGGCGCTTACTTAGTCTTTCCGAACTTCCTAGCCTTCTCTAGTCCGGCGAGGCGGCGTCACGTGACCCAAACAAATATGGCGTTTTATTTGCATCTTCCCTCCATTGACCAATAGTGGCCGCTGTCAGTCGTCAGCCTATCACCACTCTCGCAACCTCCCAGATGGAATCTGTCACCTGACTCGGTTCAAACATGGCTGCGCTGAGATCTCTCTTTCTTTGGGCGCCAGGAGCAGGTGAGTGTAAGGCACCACGCAGAAGGCGGGGGCGCTCTCCACGACCCCTGTAGGGAGCGTCCCTGTGTCCCAACCCCACCGCCCCACAGTTCTGACACAGATTCATCTCTGGGTTTTCAATCTGTTTCCTTCAGGCAGGGCTCAAACTAGGGAGGTTCCTGCTGGATTTCTCATGCTTAAGGACGTGACCACCTGGGGATTTGGAGCTGGACTAGGTATAAAGTTCAGAAGGGAATACGAAAGCGAAGTTATGGGTCTGCGCCCCGGGCTAATAACACTATTAATATTAATTGGATATTGGATGCTTGATCCACCCCTTTGGGGAAAGGTGGAACTTCTCAAACAAAGATAGTAACATGTCAAATCAACCTGACAACGATAATTAGGAAAGTAAGTCCCGCCTTTCCCTGTCCGGCTAGTAGTTGCTAATTTGTCCAAACACTGCTTCTTCTGCTTCTTACTCTGGTGTAAATTGTTTATAGGAGGTGCCCCACGAAAACTGACAATGTGTTCTGCGTAATTCATCCCTTTCCGTCTCCCTGCACTCTGTGCTGGGAAAATGCACCATCCATTTGGAAAAGAGGAAACCGCTTCCCAGAAGGAGCTTTTTGGATTTTTCTGTGAGTGTCTTCGCAGAGGAGAATGGGAGCTGGCACAGGCGTGTGTACCTCAGCTACACGAGGCACAAGGGGATATCCCAAAGAAAGTGGAAGATATACTTCAGGCGCTGGTGGTGTGTCCAGATCAGCTGAGGTAAGGGATTTCTCTTCCTGCCAGGCAGTCACAGGGCAGGAGACACCAGGTTCAGTATTTGGATTCTGGTCAATGTGCCTCATTCAGCTACCCTCTGAAGAATTAGCAGATGCAGAGGGTATTTCACATGCTCTGAAAAGCTACCTCTAAAATACATGCCTATTAATCAATATTGGCTTTGAATTATCATCTGAATATGCTGTTAAGCCTAGCCAGCAAATTGTGTCTGAACCCACCATTTCTTGTTTATTATTAAAGTAGATGGTGGAACTGCGTTGAAAAGCATTTCATTTGCCTCCAAAAAAGCAAACCCTGCTCTCCTCTTATGAAATTGAAGATATTGTTGTAGCTTTATCAAAGGACCGGAAGTGAATTCACTTAAAGCTTTTTATTTTGAAATAATTATAGACTCACAAGAAGTGCAAAAATAGTACAAAAAGCACCTTTTCCCCAGCTTCCCTCAATAGTGACATTTAATATGGCTATAGTATAGTAGCAAAACCAAGAAATTGACATTGGTACATTACTGTTAACTAGACTACAGACCTTATTTAGTTTTCACCATTTTTTAAATCTGCATTCCTTATTATGTGTGTAGCTCTATGCAGTTTTATTCATGTGTAGATAAATCATCTAAATACCTCAATAATCAAGATACACAACCTCTTAGTATTTAGACCCCTCCTTGCCCCCTGGCAACCACTGTTATCTACCTAAATTTTTAATGAAGTTCTTCCTGGCAGTGCTAGTAACAACTAGTGATGTAGGAGTTAAATGTACTGTTTAGTCTCTCCCTCACTTTTCCTTACTTTGGCAGTTATGTTATATTTTTTAAGTACTGTATTAGCATATGTAGAATGGAGACATAGGTGATTCTTTTCTTTATTTTTTCCCCTTAAATTTGGGTTCTAGCCTGTTACTGTCTCATTTTTAATTACTAACTTCAAAGAAAGGCTTATGAATTTCTATAACCTTTTTAGCATAGAGTTAAAAATAAATTTTTATCAAGTTCCTTTTTTTCTTGAAGACTACTTGATTATACTTTAAAATTATACTTTAGGTAGCTTTGCTTTATGGTTTTCTATGTGATAGTGTTTTGATTAAAAATAATAAAGACTAGATAAGGAGGTGGAGGTAAAGATTAAGACTTTTTTATGAAAGCTGCTAGCTCTATTCTGGTTTTAGTTTTATTGATCTGCAGTATATATTTTAAAATTCTCATTAGAACAACATCTTTACTGTTCAGATTTAAAATAAGCTGAGCAGTGAAATCTGAAATTTGGATCACAAAAGAGAAAAGGTTAATAGAAAGTCTTTGTTTAGAAATTCTTTCTTTTTATATTTTTCAGATGTGGACAAGACATCAATCCTCAGCGATTAGCCTGGGTCTGGCTTCTTGTACTGGAAAAATGGTTGGCCCAAGAAAAGGTAAGTAGGTTTATATTTCAAATTTTCTCCTGAGGCCAAGACTGAGAAGAACTGGGAAGTGGTTGTGAGATTTCCCCTATGTCTATTACTTCCTTTATTATGAGGTTTGTCATATTCCTCTTTCCATATCGATAGTGAGAATGGCTTAAATGTTTATTGCTGTCTCCTTACCTAAATTCATTTATTAATTCACTAACATAATTGGCATGTAATACCATCTGAGGTGATACCATTTTGTTAAAAACCACTGTGACACTTGTGCCTGACAGCTTTGCCGAACTCAGTGAAAATGACAAGATAGCAAATAAAGTATAAACCTCATATGAATAGAGAATGGGCTGAGCTGGTTATTCTTCCAAAAATATTATTTCAATTAGTCCAGTCTAGTGAAATCTTACAGATTTAAACCTCATTAATTAATAATTTAATTACATGATTTGAACTAAAATTTACCAAATGTAAAAACAAAATGAGCAAGTTAACACAGAAAGAAAACTTGTAAGGAAAAGAAAATTTGCCATTAAAAGCCTTTTTGGAAATATGTGATAATTATCAGAAGTTGATATCCATTAAAGGTATTTCCCTCAGGCAATTTTGTATTATTCCTCAGACTTCAAGATTTAAGTGAAGAACTTTTGACTCAAAAAAGAAATGAATGGCCCAAGGTCACAGCGTAAAGTTAGTTGGCAGAACTATAGCTGGAACCAAGATCTGACTGCGAGTTTCCAGTCCTCTGCTTTTTCCACCTCAGTGTTAGTTTTAGGCTTTATTGGCTTAAAAGTTAGAAACCATAAATTCTGTTTTGTAAATATCTATAATTTAGCCTAATTTTCTTCTTTACTCAGTCATCAGAATAATTTTTGTCTTAAGTTCCAGTTGTACTCTTCTCTACAAGAGCTGTCAAAAAGTAATAGAAATTACTAATCTAAATGTATAATCCAGGCTTTGGCCAATTGTCTAGCAAAGAGAAATTACAGAAAGACTAGGATGAATGGGAAGAAAGTAGCAAAACTGAAAAATAACCCCAGAATGATTAACAGTTGGCTATAGTTTCAGATCTAAAAGACAAAAACTTGAGCTAAAATATTCAGTAATATCTTCAAAGAGAAACATAAAAAATGTTTTATTGTTACCAACTAAGGATATTTCCAGTACAAACACGAGATCTGTGAAACCCGATGAACTTTGCCCTGACTGAAGGGTACTTGTTTACTTTATGGCTAATTGGTTGCTTATTTTGTGGACAGTTGCTCAACCAGATCAGGCAGTGGATATCACTTCCCCCTGGCTCCTTAGCACAGACTGAGTTGCTCTTGTTTTTGCCAACATCGAAGATCATTTGGTCCTTAAGGCTCCAATGCCTCAGTTATTTAAACTGTAATGGGAATGCTTTAAACTTTAAACAAGAACCTTAGAGAATTTTAAAATTTTATACAAGGGCTAAGGTTTCAAGTAAATTCTAGGAGTCGTCCTACTCCTGGAGTGGCCTTCATCTTCTTGAGCTTGCTGGCTGCCTATCCTTTTCCAGTGTCCCACCTTCTGCCAAAAGCTTCCTTTTTAATTATTAGTTGAAACAGTGAGTCAGTTTTCTCTTCTTTCATCCACTTTTACCATCTGCTTTTTCATCTTGTACTGATCTATACACATGTAAGCATGTGTGCAAAGCTTTAACTGCAGAGATGTTCACTGCCATGCTGCTTCTAATACAGGAAAACTGGAAACAACTCCAATGTCCACAGTATAGGACTGGCTTATCTATTTGTAAAATACCACACCATTATTAAAATTATGTGGTAAATGAGTTTTCAGTGACATGGAAAAACGTTCATACTCTGCTATGTGAGAAAGAAAAGTTCACAAAATAGTACGTTTGGTATGCATGCATCGATGCATATATAGAAAATGGTCTGAATGCCCTTAGACCACAGTATTAATAGTAGTTTTCTTTCAATGGAAAGATGTGTGTCTGTGTGTGTGTGTGTGTGTCTGTCTGTCTGTCTTTGTTTGCCTGTTTGTAAATTCTCATTTTTCTACATTGAACATGCCTTGCTTTTGTAGTAAGAAAATTTTTTTAGAAACATGGAACAAATTCTTGCTTGCTTTAGAAATGTGAGTCGTTTTTGACCCCGCATATGTATAATGTAATTTCACCAGAAAAATAAATATGAACTTATCAGGATTCTAGATTAAAGTTCTAAAATCGTAAACAGACTTTGTTCTTTTCTTAAGGGGCTGCTGTCTAGACATCTTACCTATTTCTTCCTCTTAGTCCTCAGCAAAAACACTAACCTTCAGCTTCCCAGCATGAATTTTCTTCACCAGCTTCCAGTCACTAGCATTATGCAATTATGCGGGTGTAGGTGCATTAGGGAAGGGTGTGGTAAGGAGAAATAGGATTTGGGGCCCAGAATGTGCTAGATCATATTAGCCTCTGATGTGATGAATGTTACGTGAATAGAGTAATTGTGGTCTTGTGTTGTAACTCCCCTCACACACACACAATCCTGCAGGTGCTTCTTGCTGCGAGTTAGGGGACCTTTCGTAAAACCCAGCTTCTGGAAGCTTTAATCAGTTACATGATTTACAGTGTCTCTAATTTAAAGCAGTGTTTGTCAGGATTATTCCCAGACTTTATCTTATTTGTCTTTGTGTCTGGAGAAAGGGAGACTTATTTTGCTCTTAAGAACCAGGAAAAGGGAAGTTATTCTGAAACAAGCAGGTGCAGGAAGAGTCATAGCTTTCTCTTCCTTTTTTCGTTGGTCTTCTCTGGTGGCATGTCTCATTAACAAACATCGGGATCACTTTTTCCTTTTCATGCTTAAAATAATTGAAATATACTTCCTAACCATTTCATCTTTAGGAACAATTATCTTTTAAAATATATACTTATGCCACAGGTTTGTTTGACTTAGAGATTAAATGAGATTTTTAAAAAGATGTGAAAATATAGCACACAGTACCTGACACATAAGTGTTTAATAAACATTAGATCCTTTCCCTTTATTTTTGTTTTCTAACTTATAATGAATATCAAAATTAGGGATCATGTGGGCCACACCCTCCTAATTATGCTTACTCATAATTAGGTGTTTTGGACACTGCAAGGGGGATTCTTGGAAAAAAGACTTCAAGTGATAGAAAAAGTCACATGAAATGAGCAAACGGAGTTGGAATGTGGGATTTAAGTGTGAGTGTTTAAGAGGGGTATGCACCCAAGCTTAGCTGTTCTTGTTTATAAAGTATCTCAAAACATATCTAGGAATTTAATGTTTAAAAGTACTTTATCTTAGAGAAACAGCAGAAACCAGAGTAACTGAAGAGAAATATTTACTTATAAATTGTTAACTAAAACATATACCTAATCACTGTTCTGCCTTCTTATGATTCTTTTAGAAGTTACTCCCAACTGTTTTCCGGAGAAAGCTTGAGTTTCTTTTATTGTCAGAAGACCTCCAAAGTGACATTCCAGAGGACATCCTCAAGGTGAGAGAGGGCTCTGGAGCCATCTGCCCAGAGTCACAGTCACTCAACCATGTCAGCTTCCAGGGATCCAGCAAAGACAGGTCCCTGAGAAGATGGCTATAGGCTATTCTCAGGCAAGACCAGGCTAGGTAGAAGCCCCTCTGAGAGGAGTTTAGAATTAGGATAAACTTATCTGATTTTAGAATTCTTAGAGGTGGATTGTCCAGAAGTACTAAGAATAGCTGGGGATTAAAGATTTTTTTCATTTCATGTAAAAGGAATACATAACTTGGATTAAACTTAGGTGCTTGAATTTTTCACCAGTATATGGTAGAGAATGTGAAGGGAGAAATATTTGTTGAATACCTCTTCTACAACAGGTGCACTGAATGTGTTATAGTTAATCCTCACAAAAACCGAGGGCCAGATTCGAACTAAGTCTTTACTATATCTATACTTAAGTGCCTGAAGTATGCTCTGAGGTTTAGTACTTATTTTTTTCTATCACCTTGCCACCAGCTAATTAAAGACGTACTAGCAGCAAGATTTAAGGTGGGGACTTTCACTTATATTAGGTCAAGGACTCATGGTCCTGTGACCATCTTTGGGGCACTTAATGAAGAAGCATCCCTGAGCACCATACATAGGCATGGTCCTAAAGCACCCCCTTTTCTCCTTCTGCCCCGCCCCTGCAAACAAGGCTATAGAGTTTCTTGCCTTTAAGTACTTAATCTAGTTGGGGAGCAAGGACTAATACACACACGAAACAATTAAATACTAAGCCATGTGATACTAATTTGAGTAGATTCAAAGCCCAATAAAGAGAGAGAGTTGTTTGGGTTGGAGGTGTTGGGGAAGGTTTTATAGAGGAGTAAGAAATGGGCTATGCCTTAAAGCATGGCTAGGATTTAGACGGGGGGATTAATGTGTAATGTGGGAATGGCGTGTAATGTTTTAAAAAAATGAATTTAAATGCCTTGAGCTGGCATAATGTCTTATGCCCATTTGTTACCTGCTTGGTCTATGAGTTTGCAATTCCTGATTTAAAGCGACAGTATACATTTTGGAGGTGGTAAGGGGGGATGAGTTTGAACATGGAAGCCTTGGGCAATTGAATTAATTTCTTTTGTCAATCTCCTCATTTGTAAAATGAGGATAATAGGAGTATCTTCCTCTTAAGATTGTTGTGAGGATTATTTTATTTTTCTTTGTAAAGGGCTTGGCACATAGTAACTACTACAGAAGTGTTTGCTACTGCTACTATTATACACAAACACACGTTGAAAAGAAGAAAACATCAAGGCATACAGGTGATAACATTCTCGACATGCTCACCATGCATCTTTCTCTTCATTCTCTATTTAGGAGCTATGTGAGGCTTTATCACAAGACTCGGTAGACCCTGTGCTTGATGGAAATCAGAGGCGAGAGAGCTGGACCCTCCAGCTCAGCTCAGAAGCTGTCTCTGTGCTCTGGGACCTTCTGAGGCAGGCCCCCCAGCCAGTGCAGGCTCTGCTGGAGCTCCTGCTTAGGGAGGACAATGGCACTGGCCTCTGTGGCTGGCCTCTGCAAAAGGCACTGGTGGACCTCATTCGAAAAGCACTGGGAGCTTTGAAGGGCCCTGCTGCTGGGCCCCCTGGGGAAGCAGATGCCATCTATGGAGCCCTGCGGATTCTGCATTGCCCTGCAGAGCCACTCGGGGTTGAGCTGCGTCTCCTATGTGAAGAACTGCTGGAGGCCTGCAAGACTGAAGGCAGTCCCCTGCAGGAGGAGCAGCTGCTCAGCTGCCTGCTACATAAGGACGGATGTGGACTGGTATCCCTGTATGGCCATACCTATGCAGAGAAGACCCCAGAAAAGCCACCGAAGGCCACATCCTCGGGAAAAGGTGTGTTCTCTTTGCCGCTTCTCCTGATGTGTTGGTATTTTCACAATGCCCAACCTCTCTGGAGTTCCTCTAGGCAGGTGCCTTTATGTTGCTCAAGAAATCTAATGGGAGAGGCTGAGCAAAAAGGGTGAGGTGTCCTTTTGTAAAAGCACAGATTTTGTAGTCTAAAACGGAATGCTGGAAAATATATATATAGTAATAGTAATAGCAGCAAAGAGCTTTTCAGAAGCTACTGAGAGGAGTAAAGCGTTTTAATATAGAAGTATAGAAAACCTGGTTTAAGTGTTGAAAAGAGCAAACTGTCATATCAATTCAATTGACTTTTCAAATGGGCTTTAGCTTAGGAAAGAAGAGCTCCGGTTCCCTGGTAACCTTTCTGGTTTGATTTTCAGCCTCACCGGACCATCTAGATCCCGAGCGGGCAATGCTAGCCTTATTCTCCAATCCTGATCCAGCCCAGGCTTGGAAATCGGCCTGTTTCTACTGCCTGAGCAACAGCAAGCACTTCCTTGAACAGATCCTGGTAGGTCAAAGTTAATTATTCTCCATCAGAGAAGTACCCAGGGACTTTAGATAGGCTTTTTCATGCCTTGTTTTTCTCCCACTCATTTGTCTAACATAAAGCAGTCTAATTATTAGTGAGTCATTTGGATCTGTCCATCCCATAGTCCTAGGGGAAAGAAGGCTTTGAGAACCAGTGTCATTCATTATTAGAAATGCAGTCATTTTATATTGGTCCTTTGGCAGGAACTAAAATGTTGGATATGTATAAGTTTTCTGGAGGGTACGAGGAAGAAAAGACAGTGGAAGCAGTATGTCACCTGTCTGACAGGGGAATTTAATTGCTCTAACCTTTTTCCAGATTGCACTGAGCTTCAACTTAATTCAACAGATATGTATCAACCTCATCTTACGTGCTATGTTCTATGTTTATCCTATGTGCCATGTTACAGCAGAAGTCAATCCCTGCCTTCAAAGAGCTTATAGTCTAGTGTTTTTGTGAACATTTTTTACTCAACCGGCCATGTCTGTCATTATCAGACATCTCCCTGATATACTAAAAAGCTTCTTACCCTAATGAGCAGCAAGTCCACATAACTGCTTATTACAGCCTCCTTTGACTTGCAGGTGACAGCACTAGCGCTGTTGAAAGAGGAAGACTTCCCAAGTCTTGGCTGTCTGCTAGATAGGGAATTCAGGCCTCTCAGTCGACTGCTTGCACTCCTGGGCTGGACACACTGCCAGAGCCTAGTGTCAGCCAAGAGGCTGCTCCAGACACTCCACAGGACCCAGGTAACTCTACTCTGCAGCCTGGGCTGCTCCAGAAGTGAGCACTATGGGGCTTTGGGCTGAGGCGGATTGCAGGGTACTGAAGTCGGTCACAATCTCTGGCCCCAGATGCTCGAGTCAGCATCTCTTCTATATCAACAGGACCACAGCTGCGACAAGCTCCTCAGAGATGCCTGTGATGGGCTGTGGGCTCACCTGGAGGTCCTGGAGTGGTGTGTACAGCAGAGCAGGTACAGCCATATGTGGCCAGCCCCCTTCCCACCATTGGGCACACTTAACCCCATGCTCTGCGCCTGTGACCATTTCCAGACATCTTCTACATAAATCTTTTGAGTTGACAATGTTAACCACCAACTAATAATTATCCTAACTATTAAACCAGAAAATATAAGTAATAATTATCTTTACTATAGCCATAAGGTTATAAGTAGAGGAAAATTTTAGGGTAACAATGATAAAAAGAACAATAGCTCATATTTCCTGAGCACCTACTATATGCCAGGCATAGCTTCAAGCCCTTTACATGGGTGATTTTGCTCACAACAATCCTATGAGGTAGATACCAATATTATCTTCATTTTTAAGATGGGGCAGCTGAAGCCCAGAGGTGTTATGTAACATGCCCAAGATGACACAGCTAGTAAATGTAGTCGGCATTCTTAGCCATGTGTTATCCTGGATGACACCTTTATTCAACAACTGCCTATTGAACTGTGTGTGAGCTATGTTTTCCTGGTAACTTGGCCTTAGATCTTGCCTACATCTGGATTCCTGTTCTTCACCTACTTCACTAGCACTTCCTGAAGTAAAGTAGGCAAAGTGAGAATTAGTGAGAGGCCTTTACTCAAAGTAAAGCAGAGAAGCTTGTGTCACTTCTTAGCTAGGAAGAGTACAGAAATTAGGAAGCTTCATCTGCAGGCCCTTTCTATATTCTAAAGACCTAAAGGCCCTTTCTTTGTACTTCTTGAGGGTAAATAAATGTTCTGCTCTATCCCAGAACAACTGAAATTTTGTGTTTGGGCAACTGAAACCTGTGTTGTGGGCCAGAGAGGAATCGAGATTGGTCTTTCTTAGAGCAATTATATAAACTGCCTTCCCTTCCACCCTCCCATCTTTCCTTTTCAGTAACCTCATACCAAAGAGAGATCTCTTGTGTCATTTACATGGTGGAGGCAGCCACTCAGTGCTCTACTCTCTCCATCACCTTACAAACCTTCCAGCCCTTAGGGAGGAAGATGTTCTCCAGCTCTTACAGAAGGTGCCAGCCAAGGACCCCCAGCAAGAGCATGGTGAGTTGGAAATAGAGTGACTTGGGCAGTTTCCTCTTAGGATAATCTTGCCCAAGTTTCTTTCAGCACAGGATTTATCTAGAGGTAATCTGTCTAAATGGGTGTTCTAGCATGTGCCCTCTAAATTAAGTGCTGTTTGCCCCAGTGAGATTAGAAGATAGAGGAACATGTCTCCCCTTTCTTGGTGAGGTGTAGGGGAATCCTCTGAGAACAGTCCCATAGGAACCTCTGTCCTCGTGGAAATATCTCAATAACCACTACCATACCCTCATTCCAATGAAACAATTAGGAAATGCCCTCTGAATTCACAGCCTTGTCGTTGGCAGTGATGCAAATTTTTTATGAGTCTCTCCATGCTTCATAAGCTCTCTCATAGCGCATTTTGTGTCTGCCTTCTCTCCCATATCTTCTTTATACTCTGTTGAACAGATAAAGAGGTTTGGAAGAAAGACTTGCCTGAAACAGTAGCAAAGCTTTGATTTAATCTTAGATCTTTGCTTAAAATTCAAGTCTCCGTTAACAAGCTTTTTTGCTCTCAAAAATCCTATCATAGTGTAGTCACAACCTGCCACACAGGCCTTGGACTCTTAGCTTTGAGAGAAACAAACGTTCTCATATGGTAATAGATGTTACTCACCCTAGATATTGCTTTGATTTACTTTAAAAGGAATTGCCACTAATTGGAAATGTGTTACTGCATTCTATACTTTTTTCTAGAAAGGTAGGCAACTTGTTTAGCAGATTTCCTAAAGGAACTGAAATGCTCTGTTTTCTACACACTAGTACAAAAGACTTCTAAAGAAGTATTTTAAACCTTATCCGTAGTGATCCACCAGGACACACTTAGAACTTAAACTTGGAAAAGGCAAAAAGGGAGCAATAATAGGACTGAGACTAAGGTAAGACAAGAGAGGCATAAGGAATACAAAATTTAAGAAGCCACTTATTCCTACGGTTGTGCAAGTTCTTGCAAGTCCTGGCCTTGGGTGATAATGCCATGTAGAGGCAATGGGCTTAAAACAATATTGATCTCATTCTCCTTCTTACTCTGGCCTTGGCAAAACAGCTTTCTAGAAGAAGTAATAAATAGGAAGCCTGTACATAAAGGAATTTATTGCAGCATCGTAGTACAAAGCATCCCTAACTGCTGCAATGCCCTGCCCTAGAAGAATCTGCCTAGGTAAGGGGTTCATTCTGTAGAACTACATACAGCCAGCAGAAATTTAGTTAATGAAGAAGCATAATCAAATGTGATGCTATCATGGATTTTTAAGAAGTGGGAAAATTAAATAATATAGAAAATGTCATTACACTCAACTTAGACTTGCACACGTGTATACACATACGCAGCACAATCAGAGGGGTTAAATCAGAATTTTAACGATAGTTGTGGTTAGTTGATAGGATCATAGGTGATATTTTTTCCTCTTTTTTGCTTTTCTGCATTTAATGCTTTTTCTTTGAGAAGGTTGTGCTTTTTGTATGAAAAGAGTTAAAGCCAGAGTAAGATGTTTAGAGGCCCTTCAAAGATTATGGTATTCTCCCTTACTCCTGAAGTTCAACATTTTATTAAGTGAGAAATTATAAATTATTAAACGAGTACAGGGAACTTCAATAGAGTTTTTTTCCCCATGATGTCTGCTTCATTGCTTTCTTAAAAATATCATATATTTTTTCCAAAAAATTACTTTTGTTTCTTTTGCCTTTGTTACTCAATCTAAACACATTTTAAGCCTACCTTTTGGATAATGTGGCACTGCGTAGATTAAACATTTACTTTAAATTTTAATTTTTAAAAAAGTAAGAATAAGATTTTAAGGAATGTAAGGAAAAGATTTGTTAAGCATCCATGAGGGCTATGTGGAACAGACAGGTGGAAGGGAGGTTGGTGGGCGAAAGGAAATGGAGGGAACTGAAAGTTGGTGTTAAGTAGAGGAAAGGGCCTGGAATGGACAGAAAGGAGAGAGAGTCAAAACACTTAGAGGACCTGGAAATGCAGTATCTCTTTGCTTCAGCCATACTTGAAGCCCGTACCTGAAAGAACCAACTCTGAAGTTCTGCCTGTTTCTCTCTCTCATTCTGATTCAGCTGATACCCCAGTCCCTGAGCACCTGAGCCAGTGTCAGAACCTGACACTCTACCAGAGCTTCTGTGCCATGAAGTATGCCATCTATGCCCTCTGTGTGAACTCACACCAGCACACCCAGTGCCAGGAATGCAAAGACAGTCTCTCTGAGGACCTGGCCTTGGCTGTGGAGTCAGTGAATGATTCTGTCTCCTCCTCAGGTATAGCACCCACTCCCCCATTCCTGACATAAGCTGGTAATGACCTGTTCCAGAGAGTTCTTTGTGTGGGAACCCTTTTCCACCAGGATTGGGGAGGTGCCTCTTGGTTTTAATATGCCCAAGAATAATTGCATTCATTTATCAACCTCTGTGAATCAAAGGGACATGGAGAAAGCGAGTGATTGGCCTAAGTTCTAATGAAGTCTCATCACCTAGTGCAGTATTTTATGAATGCTTTTTTAAAACTACAATCCACAATAAAAATAGCATTTCACATCACACTCCAGTTTGCACGTAGGTATATAATTTGCGTGTTTATTTATGTATGTGTATATAAGTGATATATAAACTGAAATAAGTTTTAAGAAAGAATACTCACTCTTCCAAACAGAGCATACTCTCAATTATTTTTCTGTTGTATTCATCATTTAAATGCAGCCTCTGAGTCATTATCATAGCCTGTAGTGTGAAAGAACATATGTCCTATCCTCTCTCATTTTTCTTAATAACTTATATTTTTAACAACTTAAAATTTTTTAACTTGCTTTGTGTGACTACTGGATAGTATCTCTCCCTTGTAGCTTTAGAATAAACCTTCACCTCTGAGCTTGGTTATTTTTGACCAGTGAGTATTTCTTAAGAAATCTAGGTTGTCCACGATCACCTTTAGTATAAAAATGTATGAAAATGGAGTTGAGGAGTAAGAAGTCTGCATGCTACCTTCATTTCAGGAACAGAAATATGGAGTGCTTGTCAAAGATGAGGAGTAATGTAATATTTAAAAAGCCAAAACAAAATGACAGATGTTCAGTGAGCTGTATTTTTAATTAAGGTAGCAAAATCTTTCTGCAAATCATGAAAAGACATGGCTGAAGAGTGTCTTATCCTCCTAACTATAACCAGAATTCCCTTAGTCATTAAAAATAAATAAACGAGTTAAAGTTGTGAGAATGTTTGAGTCTGGCAAGTCGTGTTTTTAATATTTGAATTTTCTCTTTTTCTCTGGTCTCTTATATGTGCTTATTTAGGTGCTTCGAATCTCTTCTCAACATACCTGGCTAGGTGTCAGCAGTATCTGTGCAGCATTCCTGACTCTTTGTGCCTGGAACTTCTAGAAAACATCTTCTCATTGCTCCTCATCACCTCTGCCGATCTTCACCCAGAGCCTCACTTGCCTGAGGACTATGCTGAGGAGGATGATGTTGAGGGGAAGAGCCCTTTGGGTTTGAGGTCCCCATCAGAGAGCCCTCAGCACATAGCACAGCCAGAGAAGAAGTCAGAACAGGGTTCCCAGGGAGTCCCCAAGAGTTTTGCTTATACAATTCCTAGCCGTATGAAGACAGAGCCAAAAGACAGTTCACCAGGGCCTCACGGGCATAGCTTTTTGGACCTAAAGCACTTTACTAGTGGTATCAGTGGGTTTCTGGCTGACGAATTTGCAATAGGGGCCTTCCTCAAGCTTCTCCAGGAGCAGCTGGATGAGCTCAGCAGCCACACACCCCCTGAGGAGCCAAAGCTGCCAGAAGGCCAGAGCTGCTCCGGAAGCAGAGATGGACTGCAGAGCCGCTTACACCGGTTTTCCAAGATTCTTTCTGAGGCCCAGTGGAGATACAAGGTTGTAACGAGCAACCAGGGCTCAGGTGAGAGAAAGCAGAACCAGTGGGTTCAGAAACTGAAGAGGGAAAACATCCCAGGAATGTGGGAGTGAGCGAGGAATGCATGGGAGTTACACTGGACTCACTGTCACAGCAACTAGTGTCAGAACCGTGCCTCAGAGCCCAGTCCAGATCTTCCCCTACCTGTTACCCCAGAAATGGGTCAAATCAATATTAATCATTCTCCCATGTGACCCACTGGGTTTGCCATTTCAGAGGAACAAACTTCCCGAAGATACCGGCCTGTTGCCACACGGCACCCTAGTCTCCGCCGGGGTCGTCGGACACGAAGGAGCCGGGCAGGTAATCTGAGGAGCTGTCTCCCCATTCCTCATTCCCATGCACCAGGCAAGTGGCATACTGCCACTCGTCTAATATTCTTTGAGGTAAAGCACGTGGTCCAAACAAACAAACAAAAGTGATTTAAGGTTATCCTAGTCCCACTCCACCGAAGTAACCCTAATAGTTTCCTTCCAGAAATTTTTCATACAGTACAAGCATGTGTATCATTTTATATACATATATACTTATATACATTGAGAACTGCAACTTTCTTTTTTTGTTTATATCCTTTTATATGTACAGATGTATCATACTGTATATTGAGAACTTATTTTTATCTATTTTAAAGGCTACTTAGTATTTCATCATCGTATGTACCCTTTTGTGGAGATTTAAATTGTTTCCAGTTTTTTACTGTTATAAACAATGCTACAGTAAATAGCCTTGTACATATGTCTGCACACTTGTGTGAATATATCTAGTAGTAGAATAGCAAGATCAAAGGTATGTGGATATAAAATAAAGATATTATCAAATTGCTTAATAAAAGATGGACCAATTTATATTCCCACCAAATGTATATGAGTGCCTATTTGCACATACATTCATTAAAAATGAGAACCATCAGATTTTTAAATAATCTTTGCCAATGTGATTAATATAGCAATGGTCTATCATTGTTCTGATGTTTTTAGTTTGAGATCGAATATCTTTTCATATATTTATTAGCCACTTATATCTTTTTTTGAGCTACCTATTCATGTGCAGGGTTTATATTTTCTATTGGGTTCATCTTGTTGAATTGTAAGAAGCTCTTTAAACATTAAGGAAAATATTCTGTCATTATGTGCTATAATTTTTTCTCCATTTTGTCTTTTGACTTCGATTATTAGTTTTCCTAAAGAGTTTAATACAAGAGCATTGTATAGAAGTGTTATACTTTTAGATGATCAAATTTTCATATGGTATTTGTTGCTGGTTTTTAAATAATCAACAGAATTCAGAAGAATTTGCTCTGTGCTAAACAATATTAGGTATCTTGAGGGAGGTGAATGAGGCATACACCAGGACTTTGCCTTCAAAGAATTTATAACTTACCTACATAGACAGTACACATAAAACACTTAAACTGCTTCCTGAAAACAGAAGAAATCTCTTGGAAGGGAAGATCAGCATAGTCTACAAAAGTCAGAGAAACAGATTTTATGGAAAAGTTGACTCTTGAACCTGGCTCAGAAGAATGAGTAAGCTCTAGCCTACTCACTGTAGCAGTGAGAAAGATGAGCATACCTGGGTGGAGTGGAGAATATCATGAGAGAAACCTGGAAAACATCAAGGCTGAGATGCTCAGGCCCTTAAGCTGATCAGTTAATTGGTTTGAGTTAAAAGGCATAGTTTACGTCAACTTAACCCTCTAGCCCAAGAATGCACAATCTGTCTTCTCTTTCCTACAGCTGTCTGTTCCTTTCGAAACAGTGAACCAGACACTCCCTTGCATGAGGCTGATATCGCCCTCTTATGACCACACTAAGGAAAAACAAGCCTCCATTCTCAAGCCCTGGCATTTCAATAAAACAGGTGTTGAGATAAAGCTTTTCCTCCAAGGCTCTAAATACTGTGGTCTTTGGCAGACCAGGACTTATACTTTGGTTCCCTACCTTTTCAAGTATAAAGACAACGTTTTCTGTATCAGAAAATTTTATGACTCTCTTTTGCACTCTACTACTTCCTGGTCATAATAGTTGTGATTTTTTTTTCCCCGAAAATTGACAGTGCTTAGTGAATAGATGGGAATCACTGACCTCTAGAAGTAACTTGAAAGCTCATAGAGCTCTGAGACCCTCAGGTTGGAAACCATGGGTATAAGCTACTAACCAAGTGAGCATTGGGGCCATATTAAGCCCACGTTTCACCTTTGGTCTGCAGGAACTTGCATTTCACTGTAAAGGAGCAGTAGGCATAGTTCTCCATCACCTCAACTACCCAGATCTTAACTTTCAAGCCAAATTCTCACTCTCTACACTGTAAGGATTTGATGGTTGATTTTCTCTGCTCTTCCTAATACCTCTAGATGGCCGGGACAGAAGTTCCAATCCATCCCTGGAAAGTACAAGCAGTGAGCTGAGCACAAGTACTTCAGGTATGGGGGTCCCAACCAGTTACCAACTTCAAGCAGCTTTGCCTTGATATGCAGTTGCCATACACCGTGGTGTATAAGCCTGGGCTGAGCAGTTCATGCCTGTGTTTAGGAAGGTTGGTTCTGGAAGATACAAACTTCCAGTTATAAGATAAATAAGTCCTAGGGATGTAATATACAGCAATATATAATAACTATAGTTAACAATATTATATATTTGAAAGTTACTAAGAGTAGATCTTTAAAGTTCTCATTACAAGAAAAAAATTTGCAACTATGTTAATTAAACTTTGGTGATCATTTCACAATATATACATATAGCAAATCATTATAGTGTCTACCTAAAACTAATACAATGTTACATTGTCAATTATATATCAATTAAAAATGAGAAGAAGGTTGGTTCTGCAGATAGCCAAACAGATTTCAGCAGGGAAAGGGCTGTTTCACTATCAATTGAGTTGCCCATCTGCAGAGAGAAGAGAGGTGAATACCTAAGAATGGTACTTAACTCTTGCATTCAAAGACGATGGGTTAGGTTTGCCATTCAACTAAGGAAAAGCCAAGACCCATTTACACACCTTTTAGAGAAGGAACTAGAATAAAGGAGAGTTTGGTGGGAAGTGACAGCAATATAGTTTCTCCTCAATTTCTATTGCTTCCTTGGTCCCCATGTTCTTATGTCCCAACAGAGGGAAGTCTGAACACTATGTCTGGAAAGAATGAGCTAGATGGCCGGTTGCAACCCCAAACTCAAAGTTCACTCATCCCCATGATGTTCTCCCCACCTGAGTCACTGCTGGCATCCTGCATTCTCCGGGGGAACTTCGCAGAAGCCCGTCAGGTGAGAGGAGTACTGGTGCAGCAGGTGTTAGTAGCCTAGGCCTTACCTTGTCACCATAAAGAATGCTAAGTCAGTATACAGGAGGTATAGGGGCTGCCAAAGTGGAATGTTCCTGTTTAGGGAAAAGCGCAAGGAATAGAAATCAGAAAGATTCTCACCCTCCTTGAGCTCCAATAACCTCAACTAAAGATTAGAGTTAAATATAATACCTGCTCGTACTACCTCATGAGAATGTTAGATTTTGTGTAGGCTCTGAGAAATACAAGAATCCTCTACTATTGTTTAAATTTAATAGCATAAAAACCTAATATTCTAATTTTTGACACTCCGTTGGTATATTTATCATACTATGCTCATCCCTTAACCTGCAGGGCAGAATTTTTCTTTAATGTGAGTTCGGTTGTTGAGGAATTAATCAAGGAGAAATCCAGATGATAGAGTCTTTGCTTAACTTTCTCTGGTCATTTTAGACCCCATACTTTAATAATAATAATTCTGACCCTCTGGGGAGGATAGGACCCCCACCAGCCTTTCATACACCCAAATCTGGAAGAAGTCAGCTATGAGCCCCCTGATGCTTTACCCGTAAGTGCCTTCACTTCCTCTTCCTTTCTTGGTCTT